AATTGACTAGCTTATAATGGCTCGTCCTCAGCGAAGGCATCCACGAACTAATTGGAACTGAATGATGGCCGTTAATTGCCGTGTGTGAACAGATAAAGACGGCGATGAACTCAAAGTGAATTAGCATGTACACATTGAGACAAAGAATATAATGCACATTTAATGATGGAAAATGCAGTACACCGAATATTCAAAAAAGAAACCTTCAAAAACAGTAGTGACATCAACTACCCTAAAATTCCATAGATAAGAGCGGGTGAACCTACCGGTGAAAAATGAATTGGAAAAAATCGAAATTGAATGCAGTCACCCCTCTAACTTGATGGATGGATAGATTAAACTTCGAAGAAGAAGTTAAGAAGAAGCTCGGTTATTTCCCTCCATACTCCCTTTCGCAAATAATTGTATGTATGTGTGTATGGTCAGAACGCACAGGTAAGTCAGGCCTTAGGCCTGTGTCAAAGCAGGAAGGACACCCTCGATATCGTCAAATGCTCCCCATGCCGCGTTTCCTTCTATTCATCTCCGGAGCTTGGTCGTTCAGCATGTAGGCTTCTCGACCTGCATACACGTCGCCAGAGCATTCGGAGAGCGTATTAGCTCCGTATAACGTAGAGAAAGCATCAGGTACCAACCATTTCTCATGAACATCGTCTTCGTCGAGCTCATAGTAGCTGACCTTTCCGCAAGCGCTTTCGAGTTCGACCACCATTCGTTCTGCCTGCTCGATGTTCAGTGTTATAGGGGCGTCTGCAAAGCGGAGGTGATGTAAGTAGCGGTGATCGACGTTTACTCCCAAGCCTTTCCATTCCAAATGATACGTAATGTTTTGAGAGCGGCACTGAAAAGGAAAGAGCAAATAGCATCGTCCTATCAAACCCCTCTAACTTACAAAGATTTCCTTTGCAAGGTGTCCTGAAATTATGGGCGCCAATTCACGGCAATGTCGAACTTGAAGTTTCTAAGCTATGAATGGCAAAATAATCTATATGCACGTTTGCTAACATTATGTGCTACAATCACATTTCAAAATATCCCCTATGAGTGCGGATAGAGGGCAAATTGTTCTCGAACTCCTTGCGCGTTGCACTCAGGTACCCCTCTATTTCTTCCTAGCACTTTTTTTTGAGTCTTACTTTCTAAGGTTCTAAACTGGAAATACAAACCTGTCAGGGATCTCTTCTGATCAGGGACTATACAGATGAGTCAAGTGGGTCAAGACTCGGGGAAGCAGGATGGCCATTCCGCTTCCTAATGAAGTCGAGCAGCTGCCGTGGGCACCGTTACCTGCTCTGGGGCTAGGATACCGTTCTGCTGCAAGGACTGCGACCTGTTTGAGAAAGTGGAGTTGGCCCAGTGCTTCATTACGCCCACCAGTATGTTATCTGGGTAATAGGTCTTTGTTAATTTTCACGCTGGCAAAGCGGAAACCACGAGAGTCTTGCCTTTGCCGATTTCTTCCTAAAAAACCACTTTGCTGTTCTTATAGAGATTTCTTTTTAAGAGACTTGACATTCGAAGTTCATAACCATAACCTGATTGTTTTATTTGTTGAGGAATGGCTTTGAAAAGTTGTCTGTTGAGGTCGGAAATGATGCGACAGTTCTGCACACGATAGGAACATCAGTAAAGCTTTTGTATGATAATTCGCCCCACCTACAACTTCGATAAGTCCTGCTTCTGAGCCTTTTTTGATGGGAAAACCAAGGATCACGATCGACTGGCAAACGAACCACTGTAGTAGATCTGCTTTTGGGAACACTGGCCTTGTTACCCCTTCCTGGCTTTTCTTCGCTTGAATTTTCCTCTCCTTACCGTTCGTTAGCTTTTTGTACAGATATTCAAGAAACCACAAGATTTCATACTGCTTTCCCGCCTCTCGCATGTCAATGTTTGCAAGTAGCATTTGATGACTACCTTAAAGATGTAGGGAGTTTCACAACAGCAACCATTCATAATGCAAGGAAGCCTACCTATATAACTAGTTCTTAGAAGTATACTCACATGTTTGGAACTCCAACCTATCCAATTTTTCCTTTTTAATTATCGAGTTCTTAGAGAGAGCCTAACAATACAGTTATTCGCACCTTATCTCAAAAACTATAATTAAACCTTTATTAGCTCTTGAAACGTAGCGAATACCATTCAATCTAATTCTCGAAACACAAAGGCCAAGTCTAAAAGCATAAATTATCAGCATCAAAATACAAGCCAATGAAAGCCTTCCAACACCTGATAGACGAAATTTTCCTTGAATCCTAAACAACATATAACCCACTTCGAAATACTGGTAGTAACTTTTTTATCCCGTACTATTTTGAAGTCTTCTGGAAGAGAACAGTAAAATAGCGCATGTACTTATTTACTTATCTACCATTTTCGACTTCAACTACAATTAAATGCCAATCGAGATACTAGAAAAACTGGCTCTTTCAAGATCTAACTATAACGAATAAAATCAATAAATTTGATGGCTTTCAAATTACTGGTTTGCGTGAAGCTTCATGCTAAAGAAATCAAGAAAAACCTAATTATTGGCGTTGTAGCTTGAGGGTATTTGAGAAAATAAACCAAATTATAGGACTAGAATCTGTTTAATATCGCAAACTATCGCCGCCTGTTTGCAATTGGTTTAGTGCGATGTATAGGGGGTTGTAAGAAACCATTAGGGTAAAGAATATGATAAGTAGTGTACCACCAGAATATGGCTACCAAAGCACCAGCAATCTGAAATTCAAGGAGCATTCTTATATAAATAAACTCGTTGTGGTAATGACCTATTCTACTTCGAAATAGGAAAAACCGTGGAGATTAGAAAAAGCTTACTTTATCAATCATTATATGATAATACAGAATAGAGATTGCGAGCTGCTTGATCTGAAAATCGGAAATGAATAATCATAATATCATAATTGTGTCTAATGGATGGTTTTTTTCTGTGCTGAGTGTCATGCCAAGTATCAGGTTGGAGGCGGAAGATGCTCGTAAGCTGACCCCGTTCAATTTCTACTTAACAACTACCCGAAGCCCCAATTTCACGAAAATATTTAGTCATTGGTCTAACGTGCGATAAAGACTGCACAGCCAGACTATTTAAAACCTTTAAGGTTTGGTTTTGCAATTCATGTTTCACTCGCAAATGAACACGGGAAGATTATTCTACTAAATGAGGTTAGTAGAGGCAAAACAATGAACATGATTCTGTTGATTTTTCAAATCTGAAAAACTACCAAGTATAACTGCATTCCAATGCATCAACTGCTGTCCCGTTGATTACCAAGTTCTTCGAGCAAGGCCAGTAAAGTGTCATTCGTCTCTATCGCGAGCTAGTGAGTCCAGTGGATTGTCCTTGTTCGAGGGACACGAGGCATAGCATCGATCTCGTTCATTGCGGTTGGAAAACGCGCTAGCCGCTGTGCTCATGTTCGCTTGATACCCGAAGGATCCGGTCAGAACCACACTGATCCAAAGGTCATCACGCTATCACATAACACATCTGGTCCACCTGATCTTCGATTTCCTGGCGTAAACAAAAGCGCCCCACCTTTATTCGGTAAACGAGGTTGAAACTCCTGATCTCTGGATTCCCCTTTGCACACGCGCGAGATTCCTGATGGGAAAATTCCTTGCATTGCACTTTCCAGATCGCGATGAAAGCAGCTCTATGCAAGCTCATCCACCTTGCGTAGAGTTCGTATCTCGAGCGCGTGCCAAAGCAGGAAGTACCATAGTATGGGAATGGTGGGCGCTAGCCGATTGTTCTGTGCTTCTTCACTACTCCTTCAAAATCTCAAATACTCTACAAGTCGCACATTTCCTTCTGCCCAGTTTCGGAGCTAGGTGATTCAGGTCCTATTAATTTCTGAAATTATTGTAAGTACATGAACCTAGAACATTCAGTTAGTTCGTTCAAAGTAAAAGCAGCGCCACGAACCAATCCGTGTATTTATGAACATCGTTTGTTGTAAACCAGTCTTCCCACAATTACTATCAAATTCATCCAAATCTAGTTTAGCCAACTCTATGTTCGGTGTTGTAAGCACGTTATCGCCTACAAAGCGGATACCATGTCAGTACTAGCCGTCAACCTTCACGTCCGAGACTTCTCCATTCAAGCGGCGCAGGTGTGGTTGGGAGCGGCACTGAAAGTTTGGACGAGATGATATCCCTGCTGAATCTCTCTCTTCAGATTGACGATGACTTCCTTGTATAATGGCGAAATTCTGGAATGATGTTGAGAGCTCACGGAGCACCTCATATATGGAGTAAGAGTGCCCTGGTGGCCCGAGGTTTCAACTACCGCCTGCCTTGACGGCATCGAAAGCCTTTTTCAGATCGATGAATCTACGACAAAACGGCATCCCGTACTTTCGCAGGTCTGGTGAATCTTGTAACGTGCTGATGTGATTGATTTTATTGAACCATGACTCCTTAGTCCATCATAACAGGATACAAACGCCGTACAAATTTGCATCTATGTGATCGCATGTCGAAATACAGAAACACATGTCGAAATTTAAATAGAATGGAGACCAGAAGGGAGGACATATTCTTGCTTGAACGGAAGGTAGACAGGTGGGCGTGGCTGCCTGAGGAAAATGCCGCAGATAGTCTTTTCCATTACCCTTTGAGTTGCAGTAACTGTCCCCTCAGGACGACGAAGGGAAGTCATCTTGGTCTTGCTATTTGCGAAGCTCCGACAGGCTTTGCGATACTCTCTCCAGCCTCGGCGGCTTTGTCCCTAACTGCGAATCTTTTCACTTTCAGATCTTTCTCTATCGTTTCCCTGCATAGCTTCGCAAGTTCAGACGTTAACTGATGGTTGCTATAGCTCGCTCCGTCCTACGCAGGCGTATCAGCGCGAGAGTCATCGAAGAGAGACGTCACCTGGCAAATTGTGGACTCTCGACTTCCCTAGAACTATCGTATCATGTTTGACGAGCTGGTTGCACTTTCTTCGATAGTGTCTATAGCGGAATCTCCCCATAAACTCGCAAAGGAAATCGAGTGATTCCAACTGATTGGAGACTTGAGGCTTCGTTTTCTGAACCAACAGTGACGTTAGTCTGACAAAAGTTTTGGTTGAAGATGCTCTCCATTTCATTTTTTTNTTTTTTTATAATGTCCACCAAGCAACTTCCAGGTCTACCGCAGATGATAGGGCTTCCGGATCTTGCGAATAACCAAGGGTGACGTGGGTCGAAATGATAAACTCGGACAGTCTTCCACCATGCTCATTCAATTCTCTTCCGTGAGTCCATATATGTAACCCTCTAGTTGTCCTTGTGGGTCTAATATGGCGCTGAAATCACCAACGATGGCCTTAATGACAATGTCGCCCTCTCCGGAAAGCTATCAAGTTTTTTTTATAAACGGCTCCACCGCGTTTTCTTCGTAGCTTGACATGGGTGCGATGTAGAGTGTAGCCCACAATATTCACATGCTATGTACTCCTATGAATGAAGGCAAAATCTCGAAATATCGCAATATTGTTTCAATTATGAGGTTTTCGGAGCCTCTACTGGCATCTTTTGGCAGTTAAAGCCTTCGTGATTATCGGTAACACATTGGGCATTTGAAGCCTTTGTATTTGGATTCGGGCCTTTGTAAAGCCTTTGTGTTTGTAATCGAGAGCACTCAGGGATGACAGCTTTTTGAAATATCACAAATTGGAAAACAAATGAGTTCAACGACGATCCAAAGCTCATATAAACTACGTAGTTAGAGGATAACAGCTTACCCAAATAATATTCAAAATAAGCATGGCAACGACGAAGTACTGCGCTAATTTCACTCGTTTTTTTTGCCGCTCCCTCATAACAATGCCACAGTCATCGTCGCGGTGAACAACCTGGTGCCACTCTCGGAATGCATTGGCCTGAAATTGCAGGCAAGTACGAAATACAATTTCGAAATAGTATCTAGAGAAAAAATTCTGACAGTGTAAGGATTTCAACATGTCCCTTCAAAAATATTCTCTGCAAAGCTTTCAAAAGTTTCGAATCCAGCAAACAAAAAAGAGAAGAAAAGAGGGAAAAAGGAAACTTAAAAACCAAAGTCATAACACTAACCCAACCTGGTCATCAATGACGAAAAATGTAACATTCGTGACTCCTAGTTGGACAAAGTATTTACAGAAACCAACAGACTCATCGAAGTGAACAAATTTCGAATTCGAGGCAAGATTTTCGTTTAAACAAAACTAACATCTTCATGCAAATTTTTCTTATCTTCTAATGACTCGTTCTGTACAGTAATGTTTTCGTCACCAGAAATTTACGACAGGAATCTGATCACGGGCCAAAAATGACGCCATGCTTACGAGTGTCTCTCTTGATACTGTTCAAGTAGTGAAAGGAAAGCAACGTTCAATGCGGATTGAGAACGCAGAAAAGTTCCTAATCCGCATTGAACGTTACTTAATACAAAGGTTTTTCGAGACGGACGTACTTTAGGTGCTCTACGAAAGCGACCACTACCTCGTGCGGTGGATATACTGCAAGAGCTGCCAGCTTCGTCCCTTCCTTTTTTAAATGTTTTAGCGCTTCATGCTCAGCGCTTGCTTATTTCCGCTGTCTTCTTATCTCAATTGCATAGCTGATAGGAGAAGAAAAAAACTGCTCAGTTCGCTTCTGATAAGGCTATGAAGACAAGAAAAACTACGTTAAACACTAAACTGAATAACAATTGTAAGAACAACTCAACGTTTAGAAAACGAAGAATAGCGAGCGCACAGCGCCTCCATCCTAACATAATCTAAGTGCTATATGATACAAATCAACATCCGCGAGCCTACTAGGGCTCGTACAACGGAAAACAATGAGCCGCTTTCAGGCACGGAACCCTTCAATTTTAAGTGGAGTCAAAATAGCCCATGACAGAGGCAATGAAAACACCCTCCGAGATAACTTTTAAATTTTGGACCAGATCTGCTAACCTCTTCTGCCATCACCAACATGCTGTATATCAAAAGGAAGCAGTGTCCAGAAATGTCGAACCCAGGAATCCACACACCACCTTTCTCTTTACACATAGTTCGTGAGTAGCGAATACTGAGATCACACCGAGAAGTCCACTGCATCAATCGGTGGAACATGAAAATCGATAATTAGCGGAAACGAAAGGTTCTAGAACTTTGCACGACTGTGTATTTTGAAAATTTGTTAAATTAACATCCGTTTCGCGAAAAAGACGCTTAGATCCTGGAGCCAGCCAGTATTTAATTAATTACAGTTCAGTGACTCTAGAAGAATGCAATACTGGTAGCAATACAGGTAGCAAAATGTATTCCCACGCCCAGTCAACTGTGATGGTTGTTGACTTACCCTCGTATGGTTTAGGACATTTAGAAACATCGAGTCAAAGGCTCCGATATTAACCGATGGCGCAGGTGAAAGGGTGCGGACCCAAGCTGTGGCGTAATAGTTTGCATCCTTGACGAATCGCTTTTTTATGCACTTCCATGGGATGCCATCTTAACGCTTTCAGAACATTTTCACGCCTACCACTTACAACTCCAGCCTACGCTAACCTTACGTCACACATGGAAAACAGCCTTCAGGAAAGGTGAAGCATTGCCCCTTTCTGACCGTGAGAGAGATGTGCCTAAATACCGAACACTAATGTAGTGATATGAAATCCTGCACTGAATCGTGCACTTCCGATAGGAGGAATTAGAATGGGTGTGTTTTAGTATAAAAATCGGTCCCTGCACTGAGAGCAGAATCCCCATGGGCAAGTCGACAGCGTAGTGCAAATCTAGTTATCAACTCTCATTCTTCATCGCTATCTTTTGAAAGTTAGACTACACATCCCAGAGGGTGGTCAGTCTACTTTGGAATAACCGTTCTAAACTTTCGAAGAGCCATTCTGTAAAGCTTGATGAATTGAGTTGTACGATATGACCGGTATTTAACGCGAATTCGCTATCTTCCGTGAGTTCAAAATTCTTGTAGCGGTTGCTATAAACCCAAGACGTTTAAAATATTGTTTTCAAATACAAAAATAGAAACAGCTATGAGTGTTTCCAAACTAGCCATGAAGGCTCAAAGTTTGGTAGAAAGCAGGGTCCCTTTGAAATGCATGGTTGACGAATCGATATCAAGCCCTAACGGGTGGTGAGAATTTCGTTCTTCAAGCTAAATATGTTGGTAAATTTCCTTACACCAAAAATTTTTGAACAGCAAGACTCCTTACCAACTAAAGGTTTTAACACATTTTTTGTAATTTACTCGAATTAGCGCATTATTTCGTATGTCGCTTATATTCGTCTTTCTCCCTTAGGGTAGGATGTATACGCCCGCCGATCATACTGACTGATTCCACTCTCTTTGCAGTATTGAGACACACACAAGAGAAATAGCCTCAGGAAGAGATAGAGGAAGAAGTTTTAGGCGTTAATCAATCTCGTCTGACCCCCGCACTCGACTTCCATTCGGAATCGTAGTGGCGCCATGAGTAGGCATATAGCCTAAACAATGACTTGCGGTGGCCAGACGATGTTTAAGTCAGTGCTTTTATCCTCCCAGACGAGTCTGGTACCACGTTGCCGACCCCGGATGGATGGAAGACTGTTTGGTCTAGGCGGATGTCGATCCGAGATTAGAACCCCTCAACATGCGTATGATGCACCGTTTTCAGTCTTAAAGCGATCGACGGTTCGTTACTATTGAGGCATTTGTATTGTATAAAGACTTACTATGCAATGGCTAGCCGGCAGTCGAGACGTCGATTGAGCTTTTCAGACTGGCACTATCATCTAACGAACACAAAATCTCATAAAATTCTAAAAAACTCAGGCAGTTCAAGTTTCCGTACCCGTATCCGTGTACAGCATCCCACTACCAATATACCTAGGTCTCCATTCAAAGCCCATTGGGGAGTGAAATCCGTCTCTGGTTAGTGACATCAGTAAGTCAGTCATTGAAACAGTAAGATGTTTTCCAACAACAAGGAAGGTAAACCAAAAACTCACTGGCAAACAGAAGCATACCAACAGAACGTCGCTACTGCTAGCCGCAAGAGGTCGATGATGGACTTATCCTTGTCTCTGAATCAATATGAACACATAAGAACGCGGTGTCTTTGTTATTAACAAATGAATTGCAGTCCGTTGAATAAAAAAGCAGAACGATGACCCACCACTGAACTAAAGCTTCGCAATAAAGAAAATTTCATTCGATTCTAGGTGACTAACAGCTAGCAAGGTTCAAAACAACAAAAGCATCCATTCTATCAGCATAAACAGCACCCTACTGTTTTTAATGTAATGAATGAGACTTTACGAAATTTTAGCCAATACTTCTTTCCTACTCCAACAGCAGAAGCTGAAACTCAAAGGCGACACCTCAAGCGCTGAAACTAGAGACAGAAAGAAGTCTTGGCTTTTGGGGTTACCCAAGTTTCTACGAATGGTAGGGTCTTGCCTAAAAACTATTTTGACGACACTAAGACTAACGGCAGTTTTGAAATTTGAAAACAATTAGCATATAATGAAGAACTACAGGCCCTCAAAAAAGTTTCGATGACTTTTATATCTAGTCGTAATCATAAACAGATGACTACATGTCACACCGAATACCACTTCCTCCAAAGCTATCAGTTCTTATTTAGAGACGACTCGAATACCTGTGATGCGCTCGAGAAGAGAACCATATAAAGGGTCCTACAGTGAAGCAAGTCCACATCCATCCAAGTTTAACACCATACTGATTGAAAACACTATGCTTCTGAAAAAAAAAAGAAACCTAAAAACCTGAAACTGACATCTCATTACTTAAAAGCAGTATCCACAATTTCCAAAGGCGCTTTAAGGTTACTTTGTGATTTGAGGCACACCCATTAGGCGTCTTTCTAGCTCGTCGTCAAGACTCAAGTGCGTCGAGCGTCGACGTGCTGGTACCTAGGGCGGACGCTCGACTTTTATGAAGGAGTCGGTCGCCGAATGACATCCCCCAGTTCGACGATAGGTGTTATATTGAAATTTTTAAGTGTTCCCGCACTCATTGAGCTCCGCCCTTTCTGTTACGCTACTCTGATTTTTTAACTACAAGTGCTTGGTAGTATTTATTTGGTACGGCCTTGCCTTCGACGGTAATTTGTTTGCCTTGTTTTATTAAATCATCTACTGTAGTTTCCACACTATTTTCCAGCACTTTCCTAAATTCGACTGAGAAGTAAAGTTGTACCCAATGCGAAATCACCAAGAAAAGAAAATAAGAACTGCGATCGATTATACTCGGACGGTTTTTAAATTATTACCGATAGACGCATGCGTGATATTGGACAATCCTTGGTACCACATGACCAGAACTTCCGTTCCAACCCACATCGTGATTAGTCAAAGTTTTCTTCGCGTCATATATCGAGCGAAAAGATTACTTCAAGAGAGCGCATTTAGAACGACATAATCGCTTATTCCCCTCTTCATAATTTTGAAGCGCAAAGGAGGCCGAAATTGTGGTCAGGGGTTTATCCAAATCACACGAGTTGACCGATCTAGCTTATCGTGGAAACTGCCTATAAGTTTATGATTCAACCACGTTGCCAACCTACCTGAACGATATAAAGAGAGTTATCAAGAGTGACAAACGAGCTGACCAACGATAACAACGCAACGAATGCCAGGAACGCCACGGCTTTCTTCTTTGGATCGATAAATAGAAACCGTCTTGCGACCTGCAACATCAATAAAACCGATAAGGAATTCGAAAAAACAAAATCGACCACATTAGAAATCACAGAGAACTTTTTAAGTTACAAGGAAGAAGTATAATTATAGCGAACTGTATGATGGTGACCGTAATAACTACAAAATGAAATCCTGATCTGGAAAGAAGACTTCGTTGCTCAAATAGTTGGATGTAAGCGACTGAGTGTCACAAGTAGGCAATTACAAATAGCTTAAATAATGGTCGCTGTTGGAGAAACATGGAACCGTCTAAGTTATAACACGCTGTGTTGAATACAGGTAGGTCACACCAGCCTTATAAGTGTGTTAAAACAGGGAATTCGCAACTTTGAAGGCATGTTGATCCTAGAATTGCAACTTTCTTTTTACAAACTGCAACGATCAAATGCTGATGAGAGATGCCGAAATTCGACGTTTCCCTCCACTAATGCGTAATTTTTGGCTACTTAACAGGGAAGTATAGTTGTTGGTAGAAGCTAAGAATTCGAGTGAAGAATCTATAAAGTGTGAGCAAAACTTCGGCTTAGCACGGGACGCAAACCCTAATCGTGCTCTGAGAAATTAGTGCCATGAGCCGCGTTCTGAGCGACTTGAACTCATTATACCTACTGGGAGAACTATTCTTTGAGTGAGCCCTGGACTGTTAATCTCAAAGTCCTGCCGATTTCATATCCTGCCACCAAGAGTTCCTGTCTGCAAATGAGAAGGGTAAAGCGAAGGAAGAACTGCCTATAACAAAACATGGCAAGAACGTGCTGCAGGAATTTTCATAGGTTGCACAAAAGAGGCAGATGAAGAGAAAAAGGAACCCCTACGTTCAAATGGTGGCTCGGTACAAAAACTGACATATCGTAGAACCGCCCGGTTATGTTTATTTCTATCAATTTGCAATCAAACTCGCAAAATGAGTTAATACCATCAGTCACGTTCACTCGCCCTTGGAAGCTTTCTATACTGCTATATCTGCCGTTCTGGAACGAAATTTGCTCAACAAAGCTTCCCCTAATTAGACTGGACTTGCACTAGCGGGAGGCATTGCTGAGGACAAAACGTCCTAATTCGGTTTCGTAGCAGTCCAGACGGTGGAAAAACTAAAAAATATGAGAAATGTGCAAAGGAAATTAAGGATGGGCGGAGCGCTCTATTGGGCTTTATTTTCTTTATATACCTATTCAAAGCTCGGTTCCCCAAAGTCTGGAGGTCAGGAAGAAAAACTTTTGGAATAAGCAAGGGCTAAGGTTGCCAGCGAGCGCAAGCTTAGTGAGCTCCATTTGCGTTTCGCAAAGAGCGTTCTTAAGTGCAGGGTGTTTTTCATAAAAGTTTAAAACTTTGTTAGAAATATCCTGAGTCCGAAAAAATGCTTAGTTGCTGAAGAAATATTGGTCGAATTTCAGTAGCAGGGGGAGCGTTCGCCGAAGTAAGCGGAACTATGAACGAACGCCCATAACTCTGTTCAAAAACTTTCTAGAATCCTGTGAGGGGAGGGACTGTATGCTCTTGGAAGGAGCTCAGCAATTATCATGGTGGGATGGGCGCGTACCGTTAACCACCCTGTCTAAATACGTTGCAGAATCCAATGAAGTGAAAGAGGCCGTTGAAGAAAGAATTGTCAAACCTTCATAAAAAAGGAGCACGTTCAAAAATTCATAGTTCGGGTAAAACCCGTTTTTATAATAGTATCATAACCACCACTAACAATGTATGGAGTCATTACCGTCATTACGCACTATATATGGAGCACATTCTGCCATGAAATTAGCATTACTTGCAGAAGCACCTGGATAGGTTGGGTCAAGTTGCATAGAGCAAGACGAAAAGAGCACAGCGTAAACTCAATACAACTCCGGGCATGGGGGTGGGGTACCATGCACCGGGATGGGCGATGCAAAGACTTTTCCAATTGTAATCAGAACAGCTCAGGCACTGGGAAAATCAGTAGTGGTGAAGAAACAGTCAACAAATGGGGCAAACAACAACGACCAACTTGAGGTGGGTGGGTTAATCTGCGTGAGTTCAAAACCAGGTCTCACCACAGCCTATAGGCTAGATTCTGAAGGGGCGGAGCTACGACAAAAAAATCAAGACTTTGTTCAAAACGTTCTTCGATGAGATGTCCGCTTTAGCTTGCGTACCACAATTGGTTATATATCTCACATTACATAAGGATCAATGGGCGCATCTATGCAAGCACATCTCTGCTGCGACCCATCAAAAGGCAACAACCCTTGGTGACCACGACAATTGCCTCCACGATTCTAGCTAGTCCAAAAAAGCGAAGTAGCGACTCTGGCCGGAGTGGAGGATATTTTATCCAAAATTGTGACGAAGAGCGCGACACACAATAAGTTTATAGACGGAGAACAATTCCTGCCCGCTGGAGTTTCCCTTCTCACCAAAATCACGCTTCTCTGAAGCGGCAATACGACAAAACCGCCAACGTCACGTGATCGCAAAAGGCTGGTGATCTTTCACCAGCCTTTTGCGATGGCTGCATGAAAAACCCTATCAATCTTCTGCTCAGCCGTCGCTTATCTTATGCATCCTGACGCAAAATAAGCCGTTCGGAATTTCGTACCGCAAGAATTTAATCCATATAGTGCTCCGACCTCACCCAATCTGAGCATTCTCAATAAGGGCCTATGAAGACAAAATCCTCATCAAAAAGCTCGGTTTTATCCACTAAAATTACTACAGGAGTAATTCAAAATGACGACAGCGTTGAAAGAATTAAATATTATGCAAGCAGTCAATTACGAAATAGATAATGTTGTGAAAGATCTGTTGTGATACTGTTGTCCTTTCAAGTCATAAAATGAATGCTGATATACAAAAACATGTAGTCGTATAATCTCCACTCTACCTGCATCGCTACGCCGAGCACAACGTTTGGCACACTACTTCTAAGCAATTGTCTACGCTGCGTAGTGACTGAAGGATATTCCTTATTCATATTTCAACAAGCTCCTGAAATCGGTAACTAGAGGAGGACGTAAGCCGAACACATAGATCACTTCAAAGTTTTACGAAAAACTAGTGAAGAGAAGTAGAACAGTATCTCAGATAAACTGATCTCTGGCCACGCAAATACAAAGCACCAACAAGTTAACCTATACCACAATGAAAAGAAAACTCACCGAAAAAATCCTTGAAGTTCAACCTAGGAAATAAATATCGAGTAGCCTTGGACGACAAAGTATGACATTGCTTTCGAATGCGCGGTTGCGACGTGGCCTTTGCACTGGAGCACAGTATTCCTCAGTTACATCTAATTGTAAACATTAATGATGGGTGGTTACAACCTAGTTTAGTGACGTATCTCTATTTTTGATGAATGTTTCATCGATCATGCTTCTTCTACGGTGACTACTGAGAAGTGACCCTTCACTTTTGATGCACTATTGCACAGTTACCCGATCACACACTCAAGCACCTCCAAACACCTGCCACATATATGTACAACGCAACAAGAAGGTACCGTGGGTAAGGCCCGTAGCAGTGGGATCTTAACGTATGGGGAACGAACGCGACAGAAACGAAAATACAGTGCGGCCCTCGGCTCTTACAGTAATCCAACCCCATGTTAATAAGCAAATTTTCACCCGTAACATATACGACGAAAAAAGGGCCTGTGCAAGGACACGGGGGTGGGTGTTAGTAAGCCAGAGGGTTACTGTAAGAGCCGAATGCCCGTACTGAATTTTCGTTTCTGTGTGAACGTGTAGTAAGTTGCCCCCCTCTGCCCACGACCTGCCCCATGGACCTCACCCAGGGCACCGACGGGGTAGTTGGTGGGGCATAGGGGTGGGGGTTACTGTATCGCACATTCGTGAGACATTAAAATCTGGCTTCGCTTTTCGTGCCCTCGCTTCTTTCTGGCTTCGCAAAAAAAAGCTGCTAGTCATTCACGGTACGCTTCGTTGCTTAAGACGGTCGCACATTTGTAATCCGCTGTGTCCGCTTTTTCGTCCGTGTATGTATGTATGTATGTATGTATGTATGTATGTATGTATGTATGTATGTATGTATGTATGGTTGTGTGTGTTCGCGCGTGTACGTGTGACCGAAAATTCATAACTTCTGTTCCGGTTGACCTGGACAGTTCAAATTCGGTTGGAACACAGGAGAATGGGGACGCTGATGATAGGTTATAGGAATAGGCTCCGTCCACAGAGGGTGGAAGCGGCAAAAATGTTGAAACGTAAATTCATAAGCACATCATCGATCTGCCTGAAGCTTTTGTGTCCGTGCTGCTCCATGTTCGAAGACGCGTAGCTTTCTTTATGTAGGAGTTGCTCACTATCAAGAATTGCAAATTCGGTCTGACGATTTTCTCTGTCATTTCTGACTCCTGTACCGTACCTTCCTAGAATGTATTCCGTACCGTCCAGTCGGAAGTCAACAGGTGCGTTGAAATTGCCCTGAACAATAGTTTACGATTTGAATTCTATTTCTCTGAACCTTCGCTATTTCCTGGTTGAAACGCTCGATTTCGTCTTCCTTTGTTGGAGCTGTGGCAGTGGTGCACTTGCACAATTTTGAGCGTTCTGTTCCACTGTTTTGGATCCTGATCTTCAGAACAACAGCTTGTGGGGTTTGAATGTCGCAAGAAATGACATAAGGGGTGGTCTTTTTTTTTACGATGAAACTGACACCGTCTGTTGTGGGCACATTATCAGCTGCTTCACGCAGCAGAATTTGATTACCGCTTGACCACTTCGCTGAGACTACGCATTCTTTCCAGGTTTCGAACGATGTCAGCTTTGATTTTTATAAGCTGATGCAGATTTACGTATAGGGAAGAGTCTGTCGATGATGTCCTGATGTTGGGGAAGTGATGTGTACTCTGATGCTCCCCCAGTCCTTTTTCCACCCCTGGTGAGGGCTTCTTGTGCGAATACGGGTATTCCTTGTACTTCCAAAAAAGTTCAAATCATAGCATCTCCAAAAATTTTGCCGCTTTTCTTTTGCAGCAGTTCTTCAGTGATGGCACCTCCTTGTCCAATAGCTGCTTTATTTGCTCGATTGTTCACAAATGCTTATGTGATATATTCACAACTAACCGCCATGGTTGAACGCTCGTTCCCTCCACCCAGAGCCTGAGAACGCGCCAAATGGCTGCAAGCGTAGGCCCAATAAAAAAATAAAAAAACAAACCGAGTCATGTTTATACGATCACAACTACTTTGCAACACATTCTAGAACCCATTGTGGCATTAATAGTAAACCTAACTCGAAAATAAACAGCACAACCAAACCATGTTATGTCGCCGCCACTACTACGTCATGAAAAAGCCATATGTAAAAAGGATGAAATGTAGTTAAAGGTCATATAAGGTCATCAAAACATGGCATTCTGTCTTCATCTTATGCCAGCGGGAGTGGCAAACTATAGTGAAGGCAATATTTAGGTCCTTACGGTATTTGATATAGCGTTTCGAGACGACAACACCACACAAGCATATTTGGTGATCAGTGGTGGACTCACCGTAGATTAAAATATCGAAAATCATTTCATCGTGAACTGTGGCTCTAAGGAACATACGTTTCATGTACGAAATTTCCTTCGCCTGACTTGATTCCTTCTGGATCTCGAATCAAGATGAACGTGAATTTTAGAGCACAACGAAAACGGTTCATGTGGCAGCCCTACCCATGAGATGAAGAAAAAACATCGTGTTCAACACTGCCTTACGATAAGGAGCTTTGGTTTCTGAACTGCTCTTCGTCGAACCATTCTTTTTTCTACAGCTCTAATTTCGTTGGATCCAATCTTCAAAATTCACCTCGGCTATACTATGAAGACATTGTCGCAAAACTTCTATGTGTTCCTCAATGGCAATTTCTTTGCCCATTCAGTGATGCTACCAGAGCCTTCAAGTAACTAGTAACCAGCGCTCGAGCACAAAGCACACAGCACAAATGATAAGATACAAACCCTGCTCAGAAACTCCAATCCTTCATTTATTCATTGAAATAAGTCATTACCGATCAATTTTTTCTCAACACTGCTTATTAGAATCCGCCAGAAACTTTCGATGTCTGTTCATACCACAACGACGACGATAAAGAAGAAGACGATGACCGGAGTGATGATTCTTGCGACATCCAGTGTCGAATCAATTATTTTGCTGCAACAAGATTTATTAGTGGAAAAAAGTTTTGCTGAAACTGAATTATGAAGCCGTGTGGGATACCAGATACATATGGGAACAAAAGGGAGTGATGATAGTGAAGTGTCAAATGATCTTGATTCATGCTAGCACGATCCGAGGTATGTACGTAGTTTTAAGGTAGGCATGGAATGGAGACTAGAATTACGCTAACGTCTTATACGGTTCAGCAGGGCAAACACTGCAACATTATCTCCCGCCCACTTCCTGGAACATTGCCAATCGGTGTATTCTTCCCTGAACCCTTCACTACGTTTCTATACATAGAACATACGGCTTCTTTTTGTTGAGGTAAAGAGTCCTTCCGTTCATTGGTTGAGTCTTTCGCCAATTATCAATCAATAGCGAGCCATCCTCTCTTAGATGTCGTCGAAGAATCTGTAGCTGAAGTTATCCACTTTGGGCTGATTTGGCAAATAGCACTTAACCATAGAAACTCCCACTTGCTCTTCAGATACGTAGTTAGGCTGCACCAAGATGGTCCATATAACATTTTCACTGCAGGGTGGTGTTGTTAAGGAGCCTGAAAAACCTATTATCAAAATGCAACCCAAAGCGTTTCAAATATCATTTTGAACGGAAGTGGGGCTCAGTTGAAGGGCTCTCTGAGAAATTGTAAAAGCTTGGAGGTGTGCTATGAGTTCAGGAGCCGCTTCCATTGAGAGAAGGCCCCAAGTGAATTACTGAATTATCTTGACATTAGAACTTATGGGTACTTCTCTAACTTATACTCCCGTACCTAATGTACTCCATTTGGCCTGCATTTCCGTGTTACCAGCATCGCGATCAACCCCTAGAACATGGATAAATGAGCATATTCATCTCTAGGAAGACATTGTCGTGAAGGACGAGCTCCTAGTTCAGCATCCAATCCAGATACGCTCCTTGCACTTACTTTGCGAAAAAGGCTTGCGTGAGAATCGGAGTGAAGTTGGTTAAGGATATAAACGAGCCGAAAATTAGAGTACCTACAGGCGAAAGACAGGAAGTTCGCAGCATACCAATGCTCAAGGAATGCGAGACAGGGGCCAATGAGGGCAACGAAGAATGGCCAGCGAAGAACGGAATGATAGGAAGGGAGAGAGCTCAGGGAGAAGGAATTGAGTAAATCACAAGCAAAGAGTTTGCCTTTAGGGAAACAAAACAAAATATGGCAGCGAGGTGGAATGCTAAGGATAGATAGAGATGACGCCTTCTCCCGTCATCAACCAATTGGCGCCAGCGTTGTGGTAAGGAAAAGAAACAAGAACTTAGCTAAAGCTCAAGGTTACCAGAGTATCTGAAGAAGGTCGATGTGTCTGGAGGTAACAGGCTTCCTGGAGTATAGGATGGTACTCCACTCTTGGACTCTGAATAACGTGGGTTGAATTGTTGTTAATGTTCAATGTATTGATAAACCGTATCCATGAATCCATCCATCACGCATTAAGCTGATTGTGATAGATAACTATGATTAACTCAACATTTTACCTAAATTATGAGTGTCTTCAGTAACCTTCTCGAGATTGAAAAGAGCTTCACCCTTTGTCGCGAGTTGAAACTGGACGGCAACCTGAACGATACGGCAACCACCCTAGACATTTGCCTGGCAAGCCTTGTAACTGTAATGTACTGAATAAGTTCAATACTTTTATCTCGATAAATAAACAGATTCTGAGGAACGGTCTTATTCTTACCACGGCGATACCGTCAGCTATCCCTTGAGCCGTAGTTTCATTGAGATCTTGCCGAATGTGCACGAAATGTACCTGAGTACTCAAGAAGAATTTCCATTTTAGCAAAAAAAAAATTGTACTCTATAGATGATTGATTTGGTATATATGTATATATATATATATATATATATATATATATATATATATA